GGCACTAAACGTACGTCTAATGCTCCCGACTTTTGTCACAGCTCAAAATGAGATAATGACCTGCCAATGAGTTTTAGTGCTGTGCTCTAAATTTTCTTTGCCTGGGATGCTACGTTTAGCTCCCAGCGCTAGACGTATAGTGCAACGAAAAAACGTCGATCTGGGGACTAAACGTATAGTGCTGAGTCAGATTTTTTTTTCTCAGTGTGTACCAAACAGAAATATCGTTGAACAAATTCTTTGTTTATTGAGACGACACCTACCGGTACTCTCGTTCGCAACTTCTGGACCACAGCAAACCTTTGAAACTTCGCTTTCGTTTGTTGTGTTGTGTTTTACGCCCGTCCAAGTCAAATTAAATACACACATTGTTAGATTTGTCCGCCTTGCGTCGCCATCGTCAGCAGGAGCAGCAGCACCAGCAGCAGCCGTCGCCAGCGCTCGCGCACACGGAGCTGCATACGAGGCGAAAGTCAACAGGTAGCTGTGACCTCCTCGGGGTGGAGGGCGGGGCTACGGCAGAGCGTGCGGTGCGCCGCACAGTTCCGCCAAGTGTTTTTCCTCCGTTTTCCCGCCGCCGCCGCCCTTCCCCCATTCATTCGCCGCTCTGTGCTGCGTGTCGCGGACTCCAGGGCGCCGCCGCCGCCGCTGCTGCTGCTGCTGCTGCTGCTGCTGGTGGTGGTGGTGGTGGTGCTGGCCGTGGAGGCCATTATTGTCATTACCGCCGCCGAAAATTCTCGAGCAATCATCAGAGGCGAGGTCATAAGGCTGGGGACAAAAAAAGAACGTGCGCCGGGAGAAAAATAATAAAAAGGAACGAAACTGTAGTTTCGCTGCCGGGTTTGCGTTTTGCATCGATCGGTCCGGCCGTGCGGCGTGCTGCTGTTTGCCGTACACATTGCGCACGTCCTCCCCTGGGAGCCCGCTGTTACGTCCCGTTGCGTTTTCGACGTGTTTGTCTTGTTCGACGTTGTGCTCCGGCGACATGCCGTGCGCCGACGCGCCCGTCCCGTCCAATCGATGGTGTCCGTCCGTCCGTCATTAGCGCACCACTAGGGCGTTGCGTGCGGGTGCGCCGGGGGCTCCGCGCGGGGGTGGCGCGGAGGCACGTGGCCAGGGTTACTGGGCCACAAGCCCTGCGCCCAATATGACGCGACAGGTGTTGTGCATCTGAAATCCAGTCGATTTTGTTCCGAATCCAGGCCAGATCCAGCGACATCCAGTCGAGTCTCAGGTGGGACTCAGCCGTAGTAAAGCACGGTGAACGAGCCTGGTTGCGAACTGAATGTCGACTGGATTTCAGATGCACAACACCTGGATCAACACTCATGACACCATGGAATAGGCCTGGGGATTCTCTGCGCAGCCAGCCACGATACCGGCGAAGTCATACTGCATTCAGGCTATCCTTTTCTCACGGGCAGTCCCTCAGAAGTCTCTGTATGGTGTAGTTCAATAATTCCGCTTCCGCTGCCAAGTTTTCAATTTTTTTTAAACAAATTTTTAGTTTTATCTTTTAATGTCAAAGAGTTAAAACTTACAACAATTGGTTTCATAACACAAATCGAAAAGAGGACAACATTGCATAAATATTCATGGCTCATCGACAACATCGTCATCTAGGAAAATGACGTCCGAGTCGGTTCGGCCACGATATGGCGTGCAACGTGATCTGGAATTCTGTTTTAATTGCAACCCTTCTGTTTCGGGCCGCGGTGACCTTGCGCAGGACGATGGTCATGTGTGTGCTGACCAGAATGTCAGGCGCGCCGCATATCGACCGGCGGCCGTCAAGCCCGATAGACATCTCTCCCCAATACCCGCTGCGCCGCTTCGCGCGTCATATCGTCGCTACCGGATGAGCTTGCTGCCCGACGAGACACATTTCCGTTATTTCTTGGTTGTCTACGTGGCAAGAGCCAATATTTTCTTAAGAAAGGATGTTATTTCATGCACATCATTATTTTGCTTTGTAGAAATTGTACCATTTTATTGGGATAATATTTTATTTTTATTTACCTGAGCTGGTACGAGTGCCATCATCAATTGGTACAATTTGTCGCAAGCAAATGATGTCCTTTCTTAGGACAAAGTTGTTCCCATTATAGCGCGTTTACCGACTGCTTCGCGATGGGGACTGCGTCACAAATAACGACATGACTGACGTTTTGACACGCCCACGGCACTAGTCCGTTGTTGCGAGGTCCTACACGAGCCTCGCATGGACGGGGAGTGCGGAGGGTCAGGTTTATGACAACCCTTAACGATGGCCCCCTCCCCTCCTCGCCTGCAGACCTACTGCCCTTGATTGAGGCGTGCTCAGCCCGGCCGCCTAGAGGGCCGCCCGGGCCGCGGGGTCGATGTGTCCTTCCCACGGCTGTTCTCGCGGCTGAAATGGACTGACCCCCGCGCCATGCCGCCTGCCCCTGGCCCCGACGACGCCGAGCCGGGCGTCGGCGTGGACCACCCCGCCGCGGCCGCGGCCGCGAGTGAGGACGACCTGCCGCTGGAGGAGCATGACGTTCCCCGGGACGCGGGTGACGGCGAAGAAGCAGACGCCGGCTGTGCTGAGGCCGGCGAACTTGAGGAGGTGCTCGTGGAGGCGGCTGAGGACGCCTTGCTGGCCGAGCTCGCCGAGCTGGAGGCCGAGGAGGCCGACGAGCAGGCCGAGGCCGAGCGACGCTCCCAGCGGAGCGGCGGGCGCGGTGTCAGCCGCAGCGGCAGCCTTGCAGACGAGGCCGAGACGCGCATCGACGTGGACGGCGCCGACCCCATCGCCGACGTGGAGGTGGTGCGGGCGCGGTCGGCGGTCTCGCTCGTCTCGCGCGGGTCGTCGCTCGCCGCGACCACGGGCTCGCTCTCGGCCTCCGGGTCCACGGCGGCCGCGGCCTCTCCGCCCCCCGGCGCACCGGTGGACATCATCGAAGTCAGGTGGGTGTCCGTCGTACGGTTGTCTGTCTCGCCCCGGCCCAGACTGGCGGCCGGGTCGCGGACGTTGCCCCCCAAGGCCTCGTGCCCCACTTGCTGCCACGTACTCGTCCACGTGCCCCACAAGTGCCCGCCGGCGCTGTCTCCCTAGACAGATTAGTCGGTTATGCAGCCGGGCTGTCGCTCGGGAGGCGGCCAGGGCGCTGCAGGGCCAAGTGGCGGCGCGCTCTCGTGGTGGTCTTCGAAGGTTGCTATACGATTATTTTTATTTTTAAGGAATAGAGGTCGACAAGAAAGAAGTCAAGTATATGGCGGAATGTTCCGAGCCGTCATTTCGCGAGGCGCGGAAAGTTTCCGCCTGTCAGAAATGCGCACCTTGTTCGCACGAACGTGGCTGTGGCCGCCGATCATTTTCTGCGTACGCGCAATTGTGCTGTGAGATAAGGTGTTGTGGTGCTTTTGCATTTTCGTCGTATGCCTCGACACAGAGTGCGCTCGGGCGTCTCGTCTCATACGTCGTTGTGCGAGTCGCTGAGAGTAATTGGTTGGCAAATACCTATCCTTCTTTGTATTATAGCGCGGCCTGCTGCTGCGATGCAGTGCCTGTAGTTAGGCCCTCCTGGCTGGCGAGTGGCGCTACCTGCCGGCCAGGTCGACTACTCAGCGGCGTGGCGTGGCACCAAGCTGCACCAGCCGGCCCCCGGCCCGCTGCACCGCCCCACCGCCGGCCCGGGACGCGGGGTGGCTGCCTGCTGCTGGCTCGGCTGATCGGGTTGCGACATCGCCCCGCCCCGCCCCGCACCGCCCCACCTCACCCCACACCACCTCACCTCACCTCACCCCGCCCCACCCCACCTCATCCCGCCCGCGTCGCGGCGCGCGGCGTCAAAGACGACGGGAGGAAAAGTCAGCCAGTGAAACAAGCCGGGCGCAGACGAGTGGTGCTGGACTCAATCGTGTTCTACATATCAATCATTTTCATAATCAAAGAAACAAACAAACCAAAAACCCAGTCTTTGAAATGTATTTTTTTAACGTTTTCTCTTTTAACATGCATGTTTGTTAAAGGCCTTATATCGGCTATGAAATTAATTCATCATGCCTGCATTATTCTTTCTTAATTATTTTGGACGTCGTCAAATTATGTCAATTTATTTTTTTTGCATTCCAAGTCCCTGTGTCTGTGTGTGATGTGAGCTGTGCCCGCGCGTGTTTGACGCTGCAAGTGACCCGCGGTGCATGCGATTTGCATTTATTGGTTACGGCCCGACGAGTTTGTCTCGGGCGTTAAAAGCTCGCTTGCGGCTCTTCCAAGTGGTGTGTCTGTCAGTCACTGACTGTGACATGACTTTTTCTTAAGGCTCATCACATTTTTCTCCTCGGCGTCGCGTCTTCGTCGTCGTCGCCGCATCGCCAAAGTAGGGCAACGGGGTGTGGCCGCGGGACTGACCGTCTGGCGTGGAGGGAGGGAAAGGGGAAGGGGGGGAGAGAAGGGTGCCCGCCGGCCTGGGCCGGCAGCGGCGCAGGTGGAAGTGGAGGAGAGTGTGGATGTTGGAGGGAGGGAGAGAGAGAGAGAGAGAGAGAGCGCGCAACTCAGCCAGCAGGCCAGCACCACCGGCGCGGCAATTTAACCATACCGACTTGTTTCGCTACCATTGGCCCCTTGGTGGCCCCCGGTCGTACACGGACCAGTACGCAGCGTGCAGTGGCGGGGCTGGGCAGCCTTACGTCACACGCTGGAGCCTGCTTTGGGCTTGCTAGTGCTGGGCTGGGCCCCATCTGTCTGGCCCCACTCCGCCCCGCCCCACCCCGCCCCA